CCAAAAAAAAAAAAAAAAAAAAAAACAATAAGAGACTGCTGGCACTCAAACTTTTGTGTGGATATAATGAAAAGTATTAAAGGGGGAAACTAAGCCAAGTGCTATTGCCGTTTGGCCTAAACGTGACTTTAAATCTCTGATCTCCAGAGTGAGGAATGTGAAAAAAAAAGTTAGATATTAATAAAACATTTTCAAACTCGAAACAAATAAAAACAAACTCAGTAGATAAATAATCAGATTAGAAGACATTTAGTTTAAATTTCCCCGACAATAACTCGTTATCAACGGTTAACATTAGCGATTGACAAAAAATACAATACTAAAATTAATCTTAAATTTGACTCACCGAGAATTGGACGAAAGTTGGAATTCTGTTGACGGAAAGTATGAGTTGCAACTTGGACAGAAGTAGATATTTTTTCGTAACACTGACGGATCTTGTGGAACCTTCTGCTATCATGTATTGCAAAAGGGCAGATGGGGATCCGAAGGAATTTAACTGACGGCTCGACCATTATTTAGGCGTGGTTGAGGTGAAGAATATAGTAACAGGCACTAAAGAAAAAAGGCATGTCTTGGTCTGCTCTGCTCAGCAAAAGTAAATCAAGAGGAAATAACCTTGTCCGACTTCGGTATACTGAGATATAATAAACGAGCTTATTACTCTACTGAATTCTTAGGAACCTTTTTTCTCCACGGTGTATGAAACCAATTTTTCGAGTGAAGCGTTGCAACTTTCTGCTGCCAGTGGTTTATGAATTCGCACTTTTTTTCTACTCTCTAGAAACTGTACTGCCATTATGGAAAGGAAAATGGCCTGTTAAACAGTCAATTTAGAACCCCAAATTTCGCTTGTAAACACCATTCTCGATCCAGATTCCCTTCAAATTTCCATCACGTGAGCAAACTGAACTGAAGCGGAGGTGTGATTGTTTTGCGGCGGGGTTGAAGAGAGGTGTTTTGCAATACTGAAGAAACAAAGTTAATATTATCTTACATAACCCTTAAAAATAAAATAAGCACGTGTAAGGTAGCTTCGTAAAAAGTCTGCGAGGAAGTTTTCCATTTGGGGGAGTTGCGCTTCACTCGCCATAAATGGAGAGCTTGTGAGCAGGCTCCTCTCGGGAGGACAATTGACAACAGTGCGGGGCTTGTTAGCCTCGTCTCCAGTCGCTGACGATCCCTTTTTGGGGGCTTATTCGAGTTAATTCGTTCCCATCATACCCCTGACGCGCTTCTCGCTTGTCTCCAGCTCTCTCTCTCTCTCCTCGCTTGTTCCGTGCTCCCCACTGAGCCTTCGGAAATTAAAGCCTGTAGAGGAGGCCGACGTAACCCACATCACCACGCATGCATCACTGCACTGTCACGCTCCTCTTGTGTCTGGAGTCGTTAAGAGGCAGTGTCTGTAAAAGCGGTCCGGTGCATTGGGGGTCGAAAAATAGTTTGTCCTCAAACTTTGCCCAGTAAATCATCTTAGTTCATAAGTAAATGAAACGACTTTCGTTTTGGGAAATATTTCAAAATGCGGATTTTAGAGCTCTCAACTGTCAACTGCCGAATGCCCTAAATTTGCCCCTGGCTAAAGCCAAAAATTGGACAAATTACTAAGCTCGCTTCTCCAAATCCACAGAAAGTGAGCAAAAAATGATTATTATTTCTAGGTTACGGTGTCCCCCAAAGTGTGAATAGCATGTGAATTTTGAATTTTGTTGAATTGTGTCTACAGGAAAATTAATTTTAGTACCTATAAGAGGCCATTTTGAAAGCGCAGCAAAGTACCCCATCTTCGCTGGCAATTATTTCCTAAGTACAGACCTGCCTGCTCTGATTTTCTGCTTAAATCAACTTAGGAGATGCTAGAAAGTATAGAAATATAAAAAGACTTTGCTCTTTGATCTTTCTTTAACACAGACACTTTGAACTTTTGGTGTTTTTGAGGACACGACCACCGTCAGTTACGAAAATTAGCTTGATCAAGTGATTCCAAGAAAAAATATCGTCACCTTGTTTTTTTTTCCTTATTTGTTGGAAATATTGACAAGAAAAACAGAAATTTCGTTGTTGTATAAAGGAGCAGTGTTTACTAGAGGCTTTGACTGGCAAGTACCTTGTTCTAACTTTGCCCTAGACAGCTGAATTAGACCTCTGTTGACGATAATTATCATGATAATTGCAGAGCTTAGGGGGAGGCGCAGACAGTTACCCGGTGTACTGGGTGGGGAAGGTGGAATTCTTGGTACCAAAGACGTATGTAGGCACTCACTAAAGCCATGTTTACATAAAATCAGTCAGATATATATCTAGCCTATGTTTTTGAAAACCAACCTATCTAACGAAATCTGCAGTCATTTGAGTGAAAATAAGGCAGCTCCAAAATCACAAAGGAAAGAAGAAAAAGAAGGAGCGAGGAGGAAGAAAGGAGAAGAAGAGAAAAAGCAATGGTTGCACTCTGCTGTAGAACTATGGATCAAGCAAACTGCATAACATTAATTAAACGGTTTCACTAATCTCGGCCACTCTTTCGCTTTCTTTAATGGCATCAATCTTGGGTCACTTTGAACTGGATTTTTCAAAACCTTACCGCCAAATGTACCTTTTTGCGCCCGACAGTTGTTTTTTTTTTTTTTCCGGCCAAAAACTTCCGCGCCCTTCCCGTCTTGTGCTACTATCTTTGGCCCCTTTTATTCTGTTTTTTCAACACCTTCCCGCCTATTTTCTCTTTTTGCCCCCGCCCTTTTTTTTTTTTTTTTTTCCGGCCAAAAACTACCTACCGCCGCCCGGTTAGCTCAGTTGGATAAGCGCCGGTCTGCCGAGCGGGAGGCCGCTGGTTCACACAAAGCTGCGCAGAAAGACACATATTCGCGACCGAATTTGCCCGAATACGGATAGGCACGGATCAAGTCCCGGCCGGACCAATACTCACGGTCTTTAAATATCTGAGGAGAAAGTCCTGCCTTTGTAAAGACATCTGC